CCCTTTAACGATTGTTGCCAGGTGTCCCAGCAGCAATTTTAATAAGTCCAATCAAATTAATGGAACATGAAGACATCTCTGGCACATTTATGGCTGTGTTAGATGAGCACATTTCCTGGAAGTGCCGATTTGTCTGACCACATTAAAAAGGAAGCCCCATAGCATACCAGAAATAAAAGCCAACCTGTTGTTTTGTATTTGAATGCACAGCAGTCAACTGTGACCTTCTCTCGATCCTGAGAATAAAGGCAACTAACGTAAGTAACAGATTGCCTTAAAAGCTGTGGCGCCCTCAGCCTTATGCATTCACTGTACTGCAAGGTTCACCATCAGGCAGCATTTAGCACACAGCTTATTTGATCTAGTTATTGAGTCTCAATACAGGTGTTCTGGGCTGTTCATTGAACTGTCACAGGACTGAGAGGAAAAAGCATTAATTGTAGATTTGGAAAAGGTTATTAAATCTTTTCTGGGGGTACTATACTGTCATTAAATACCACAGGAAAAGTAATAATGGATAGTAATGTCCTTCAAAGAAATCGAATTGGAGTGTTTTATACCACCACTTAGCATTTATATAGGGTTCCACCTTCTAAAAGCTTTAGAAATGTGAATTAATTATTCCCACAACACTACGATAAGGTGAATAAGTGCATATCAGTATTTTAATTTTACAGAATCGGAAACTGAGTCAGAAAAGGAAGGGGGCAGGAATGGTGTTTCTCAATATAGCACCTTGTACATCCTGATTATTTCCATGGGTCCTGACCCAAAATAAATGACTTGTGCAAGGTCTCAGACCTGGGCTCAAAATTCATGAGTTTCTAGCTCCTCCGTTTCATGGTCAGAGAACATCTCTGCCTCATGTTAGGCGTGAATCGTGGAATGGTCTTTGGAATACAAAACTTTATTATACCCAAGATGGTATTTCAGATAAAATCTTGCCGTCCTGAGTAAGAGCTGCAGGATTTGATCCAGAGTGTAGATTAATGGCCATGACTAGTCCTAGTTCTTGAAAAAGGGTTCTGTGTAGTTTGTTAAACAAATGTGGATGTGACCACAGTGTGGATAATGGCACAACTACAGACAAATCAGAATTTTCTAATACCATTTTATAATCATCTCATGTCCTCTTGCTTGCACAGAAATGACACAACAAAGGAAAAATGAAAAAGGGAGGTGAGACAATATCTTATACTAGACCAATTTTGAGCTACTCTCTGGTATGTCTACACTGGTGGGTTATTGCGCAAGAACGGCCATTCTTCCACAGAGCGTCCACACTGCCCATCCGCTCTTGCACAAGAAGATTTACAGTATGGCATGGTAAGAGAGGGCTTCTTGCGCAAGAGCTACGCTCTTTTCTAACAAGTGTAAGCTCTCTTGCGCAAGAGCTCTTGTGCAAGAGGGCAGTGTGGATACGTGGCAGAGGTTTCTTGCTCAAGAAAGCCCTATGGCTAAAATGACCATGAGAGTTTTCTTGCACAAGAGAGTGTCCATACTGCCATGGATGCTCTTGCACAAAAGCACATCTTGCACATGGCAGTGTGGATGTGTTCCTGCACAAGAGTTCTTGCGTGCAGACATAGCCCATAAGTCTATTAAATTAAGCTATGTACATCACACACCTTAAAACAGCATAGCTATGTCACTGCAGCAGCACCACTGTAATGCGTGCTGTGTGGCCGCACTCTATCGTCAAGAGGCAGTTCTCCCAGCAACAAAATAACACCACCTCCACTGAGAGGCAAGAGTTTCATCAACAGGAGCGTGGCTTCCACCAATGAAGCACTGTCCACACTCACACCTTTTGTTGCTAAAACTTTGTGGCAGTAATTTTTCACCCCTGGATGACAAAAGTGTCAATATAGACCTCACTTCAGTAAGGTCTTCCATGTAGCCACTCTTTGCTAAAGGAATAGAGCTCTCCTGTCCACATAATTAAACCACCTCCAATGAGCAGTAGTCACTATTGTCAGCTACAGAGACTCTCCTGCCACGATAGCTCTGTGCACACCAGCACTTTCGTTGATTAAACTTGTCATACATTTTTTGCGCATCTCTCACCAACAAAATATAATTGTAGAGAAAGCCAGACTCAGTGCCACAGCTAAATATGTTAAACAATCTGTTCTCCCTTATAAGTAGTTAACGCACATTTCAAGGGACTATTGAAGGTTAAAAGTCTCAGGGGTAGCAATGTCAGTCTGTAACTAAAAAAAGGTTAAGTGACTGATTAACACCCCTCTGCTCACAGGGGGTACAAGAAGTGAGGGGAGGAAAAGGTAGCTATGGAAAGGTGTTATTGGTGGGTTACAGATTTCTGACTTATTACAACAGTCTTTGAAACGTGTTGTGAATTTTGCTGTGCACAGCTGCTTAGACCAGTTGAATATTCCTTCTCCTATTTTCTAGCACTGGTGAGTATAATAGGAGCTCTGCATCCACAACCATTGCATTGGTCCTTACATTCATTCTTGGCTTCACTATTTTCCATGCAAAAAATAAAGTATCATCTTCTCTAGTGACACAATTACCTCCATACACAGCATACAAGCTGATCATCAGTAAAAATGTAGTTCATGGATTTATTAGAATATCTTACCATGTCCAGAGCTACCACTGACAAAAGTTTAAAAACCATATGACAAAAGTGCTAGAAAGCTCTTTATTTTAAGTGGATAGTTTGTCCTTGATTCATACACATTCTTATTCAGAGAACCTACTCAAGTGGATCTATGAAGGATTATGCATGTCTCTTTTTTTCTGTTATATAATGAATCTTTTTGAAATTCTCTGGATAAAACAAGTTGGGTAACATTCAACCCCCCTCTGAATCCCTCATTTTGCCATTGACTTAAAATAGGATTGCATCCTTTGTTTCTAAACGTTAAACTGCCTTCTGATATCTGGAGGCTGCTTCTGTGATCTTCACCTGCACCAAGCTGTGCACTGGGTCACACAGACCAGGATGCTGAAACTTAAAGGTCTCTTACCAGGCAGGCCAGGATTTTTGCTTGCTTTAAAGGACCATTGACAGCTTTAAGGTCTGATGTCTCATAAGCCATGGTGGATAGAAACTAATCCTGTACAACACTGGAAAGCTTTCCATTGATTTATAGCATTTTTCTCTTTGTATCAAGATATCAGACCCTGAAATTATGTAATTCTGATTCCCATCTTGTCTTCTCGTCCACCATTTAAATTGGAAGCTGATTTTAGTGGCTGTGCCGCAAGTAATATTTAGAGCTAACAGTGGTCTCTGTCTGAAAACTTATTCTAGCAGTTCCAGTGTAGGGATGTTAAAATGTGTGTATTTCTGTAAATGTGTAACTGCTGAATTTTTCAGCGGTTATATGTTTACATGTCGGGTAGGAGGGCAATGCATGTACAGGCAGCTGGCTTAAAAGTGCATGTAACCATGGTTAACCATGTACACATCTACTTCCCCGTCCTAGGGTAGAAAGCATTTATCTCTAACTAGCATGTTTACCTGACCTTGCTCAGGACTTAAAGAGGGGCTATGGGCAGAGGGCTGGTGGTGTGGAGGTGCAAGAGTCACAGTTGCGGGTGAGAAGGGGCTCTGTGTGTGTGTAGCATGCCCCACTCCCCTGAGATTCGTACTAGATCTGCTTGCTTTTTCCCTTCCTGTTCATGTCAGGGAGCAAGATCAGCTATCTGACACCTGTGCTCCCCAGCCAGAGGGAAGAATGGAGAAAAATGACAAATCCAGAGGGGGCAAAGCTTCACACAGTCCCGTAAAGGGCATCTGGGAGGTAGGAATGTGAAGGACTAGTCGACTATCCGATAAGCAAATGCTTATCTGGACTAGTCACTCCCCACCCTTTCTTGCCTCTATCAGAAAGAGGCAGCAAAAGCGGGGAGGAGAAGACTAGGTGCTTCAAAGCGGCAGCGCCACACGGAGCCCTGGGTGAGTGGGGAGTCCCCAACTGACCTTGGGATCCACGTAGTGCTTTCACCTTAGGGCTGTTGCTACACTTCAAAGGCAGAGACACCCTATCGACTAGTCGATATTTGATTAGTCAATTACCTACAATTTAACATCCATAGTGGGAGGTGGGAGACTTAGGGCTGGGGCAATCCCAGGGAGGGGATATGCCCCCAGCTATCCCCTTCCACCTCTCTAGTGAGTCTGCCTCTTTTCTGTATTATTTTATGAGAAGTAATCCCATTCCCCAGGCACATCACATTTTCCTAGCATAACCAAATCCTTCCACTTGCTTTAAGTTATAATGAGAAGAAGCTGTATACCAAAATTTGGTGGCCCTAGCTCTTATCATTTAGGAAGAGCTCTTGACAAACTCTTAAATATATAGTAGATTCTAGGTGCATGTGACACAGCAGTTGCTAAAATCATGCTACTGAAGTGAAGGCACAGGTAGAAAGCAAAACAGTAAGCAAGCAGCAACCAGGACCAGCACTTATAGTAGGAAGTGGAAAGGACAGATTTGGTCATAACTTAAACACAAACACAAGACATGTTCTGTAGATGGTTTATGGCTGAATAACAGCATCCTGGCCATTGACACAGCCACCTCCCTTCCCTCCCTGCTATAGTGCTAGAAAAGACTTCCAGAGTCAAACTTCATTAGCCACTAAATACACTTAGGCCATGTCTAGACTGCAGGATTCTTTCAGAAGAAGCTTTTCTGGAAAAGATCTACTGAAAAAACGTCTGAAAGAGCGTTCACACTGCCAAAGCACATCGAAAAAAACAATCTGCTTTTTCAAAAGATAGCATCCACACTGAATGGACATTTAAGATCGGATTTCTATGGACAGAGTGGCCAACAGGGCACCTGTGCTTTTTCCTCTTGCCTCTTCTTTCGAAAGAACTCCCTTTTCCCCATCCACACACAACTTTTTTCGAAAGTTCTTTCGGAAAAAGGCTTCTTCCTCATAGAAAGAGGTTTAGTGACTTTTTTTGGGAAAACAGCTGTTTTCCCCCAAAAAACCTCTGCAGTGTAGACATACCCTTAGTGACCAATCTAACTCCCACTGAAATCAGTTGGAGCCTTTCCTTTGACTTCAGTGGGAACGGTATTGTGCCTATCTAGAATGAAAAACGCAGCTTTGAACTAATGTGCATGTTGAAATATATTTGCTTAAACGATTACAGAAAAGGCAATTAAAATGCATCCATGAATTATGGTAACTTCCTTTGTCTAACACAGACATTAAGTTTAAACATTTGCAGCCAAGGAACACCTGTGTATTTTGTAACTAAATCAGGCACATGAAACAGATGTTTTAAATTATGCATTCCTTTCATTCACTCCATTGCACATAACAAATTAAGCTTCCACAACTAGAAAATACAGAAAAGCTTGCTACACAGAATCCAATAGCAAACATCTCATCGTTGAAGGATTCACAATAGGAAATAAGATTTTTAGAGTTAGAACGAATCTGTGTTTGCAACACAAATTCCATTCTTCACCTCTGAAAAAGTTTTTCAGTAAAACAGCTGCTGCTAAAAGGAGTCTAGCTTTGCATATAGGAATATGCACATTAAGAGTTCTAAGATGCAAAGAGCAGCAAAGCAGGCATTGGGCTTCAAAACCCTTTTGAGTCAGATGGGCTTCTCTCTCAAGCTCTTGCAACCAAACTGTGCCTGAGTGACATCACTGAAGAGAGGGTGATGTCAACCACATGCTGGAAAAGGATACTGCCAAGACACCACAAGCCCTTGTGTGCAGTTTACAAAACAGCAGGCAATGGAGACTGGCTTAGAGAGTGGGAAAGTAGGTGTGGGCAGTCTCTGAGGGCTGCTGAATTTCAGAGGCAATCTTTTATGACCACAGTAAATCATTATGGTGATCTCTGTGGCTGATAAGTTTCTTTCAGCATTCCCCAGTCTGTAGAGAATCTGCCAAGTAGGGAAGGTGATGAGGTTGCTGGAGAAGAAGGGATTTCCTTCCTTTTCCTGCTTGCTGCTCAGTGCTGTCTGGAGAAAAGGTTCCTGAAGGCATTGTTGTAGTTTTTGTTGAAAGCTGTATAGATCAGTGGATTAAAAAAGGAATTAGAATAGCCAAGCCATAGAAAAATACTTTTCCAAATGGGTGGGATGTCACAGGAGCAGAGAGGGTTGATGAGTTCAGTGATGAAGAAGGGGATCCAGCACAGTACAAAGACCCCAATAAGGATTCCCACCATGAGAGCAGCTTTCTTCTCCTTCTGCTCTCTCCATGTGTCTCCATCTGTCTGGAAGGTAACAGTGGCATGGCGGACTGTGAAGACCATCTGGGATTGCTGGGAGGCCTCTTTCACCTGCCAGATGTGAACACAAGCATCAACATATGCACTCTGCCTGCTGCCCAACATCACACTAGGCATACCACATGTGCTAGCAGCCTAGTTACAGTACAACTACAGTTATATGAATGGGATAGGGCAGTGCTTCTCAACCTTTTTTTAATAAAGTAAAGTACCCCCAACACCTACAGTTTTCAGACACACAATTTTTTTCTACCATTGCAACACATTTGTTTAAACAACTTAATTGTAGCCGGGTGGGTAATGAAATTTTTGGGTGTAAAAAATTCAAAAATAATAAAGTACTGTAAAACTTAAAACAAAAATTCGGTTTTCTCCAAATTTTATTTGTGTTGTTCTCAAGTACCCCTAAGGGTACTCATACCACTGGCTGAGAAACACTGGGCTAGGGCACATTGAAATAGTTTGGGTCAGCAGTGCAACTATTATATTTAAGAAATATGAGAGAGAAATCTCTGTTTTGAGTACCAGGTAGTTTTGAATAACTGAGGTCAGGAAAATAGTGGTGATAGTGGGATATGTACCTAAGCAATTTCCACTATCACAATCAGACCACGAATATCACACACACATTTAGTACAATCAGAGCAATAGCTCTCTCTCATACACGCAGTCCTGCCTGTTTTTTCTTTTCTTTTTTTTTTTTTTTAAAAAGTACGTCACTCTCTCTGAGGGGTATATGATGAGGGAAGGAGAAAAATGCAATAAGAGAGCATACAACAGACATTATCACTAAAGACCGTCAGATAGATCACTAAAGCCAGATAGCCCAAATGTTCAAAGAATCCAGACACCATTAAGAAACAATATGCAAATTGTGCCGGTGCTTACACCGATACACATTTTCCCCCAAGATCTACATTTATCAGGTTATTTTATATATTCTAGGTGGCTGCCTACAGACCCTTCACCCCAAATCACAAGGGGCCAGACTCGCTTGTGAAACCCTTAGTCATACTAGTGAGCCCTGACCCACAAGATTTCAAGGAATTGCTTCTCTGACTCACTACGCACCAGCCTGAATCAGAGGTTCAGAGTCAGGCTCAAAGTTCCCAGACGTTTCCACCAGCACATCTACACAGCACCCTAAACTCAAAATAAGAGATGCAATTTGCACTACACAAATTGAGTATCTTATTTCAAATCTACTTCAAAATAGCTTATTTTGAAATGTGGCGTGTCTACACCACACCAAATTTCAAAATAACATTATTTCAAGTCATCCCTTAACCCTCGTGCAATGAGGTTTACCAGGATGGTGAAATAGCATGTCTGTTAGGGTATGTCTACACTACCCCGCTAGTTCGAACTAGCGGGGTAGTATAGACATACCCTCTGAGTCCCTAGTGATACTATGTAGTAACCAAAGGATTAGGTTGTTTTCATGTCTGTGGTCCCAGATTAGATTAAATTGATTTTTGAAGATTAGATTTTTATTCTTCCATGAAATTGCCATGTGGAAAACCTAGGGCCAGCACTGATACAATTTACTCTCTGGGACAAATATAAAGTAGAGTCTGAGATAGTCTAAGAGAATAGAAATTCTGTTTTCTGAACAATTTCAAGATTTCAAACCTTGGCTTCGTTTTGAATCAGAACAAATTCCCAAACATTTGAAATTCCTTTGAATACAAAGGAAAATTCCAGAAAATAAATCATTTTGAGTTGATTTCTAAATAAGGGTATGTCTACACTACCCTCCTAGTTCGAACTAGGAGGGTAGTGTAGACATACCCTTATTTAGAAAACTATTTCGAAATAATGGATAGCTTGTGTAGACACAGGGTAGCTATTTCAGGATACCTCTGGTATCGCAAATAGCCATGCACTGTAGACATACCCTTTGATTGCACACTTTGTCTGCAAGTCTCCTTTCAAGACTTCTGTGGGCCAGAGGCCTTGGGCAAGTTTCCCAGCAGAGTCCAGTAAGAGCAAGGTCCCAGGGCCATGGAAATCCTTCCAACTGCTACCCAGCCCAGCTGGAAACCCCCAGACTTGACCCACCTCTAGGCCTTCTGGTGCGATGGGGGTGATGGAGTTGCTCTTTCGAGATCCAATGCGAAACTTGGCAGCCTTGTAGATCTTCCAGTAGACAAAGAGCACGACACAGAGCGGCAGGTAGAAGGCGCCGAAGGTGGAAAAGACTGTGTAGGAGGGCTCCTGGCTGACCTGGCACTCCTGGTTGCCCTCGGAGTAGGTCTCGCCCCAGCCGAAGAGCAGCGGAGCCAGGGCAATGACAGCGGAGAGGGCCCAAGTGAGGGCGATCATGGCGTTGGAGATGCGGCGACGGGCACGCAGGGTGTACTCCAGGTGGCGGCTGAGGGACCAGTAGCGGTCCAGGGCGATGGCCGTCACGTTCCAGATGCTGGCTGGCACTCCTGGTTGCCCTCGGAGTAGGTCTCGCCCCAGCCGAAGAGCAGCGGAGCCAGGGCAATGACAGCGGAGAGGGCCCAAGTGAGGGCGATCATGGCGTTGGAGATGCGGCGACGGGCACGCAGGGTGTACTCCAGGTGGCGGCTGAGGGACCAGTAGCGGTCCAGGGCGATGGCCGTCACGTTCCAGATGCTGGCCGTGCAGCACAGGACGTCGAAGGCGATCCACACCTGGCACAGCGCCCGGCCCAGCTGCCAGCGCCG